ACTAAAATTATTCTGGCAAAAAGTACAATAAAATAAGATGGTTTCTCTATTTTCATGTATTACATAATATGGATAATTTGCAGAAAATAATTTTTTTAAACAAACACACAAAAATAAAAATGTATGTAACTTGGGCCAAACATGGCAAAGATAAACATATGCAAAATCTCATTCACAGAAGTCTGGTTGGCTGACATTTTGCATAAAAGAAGTCAGAACTCCAGGAAGAAAGTGTCTTAGAGATCCAGTCACAAAAATATGACATGAAACTTTACGGATTTCTGCGGCTACTCATTTAAGTTTTTTATACTACCTCATATATATAAATATTCTACCTTAAACTGAGATGTATAACACATAATAAAAATGAATTTGATTTTGAAATGACAATTTCAGAGTTGGAAACAAATTCCAGGTATAAACATCAATTCCAAAACCTTCAATACCACCACCACACTTACATGGACCATCATTTAAGACATACAAGATCCACTTACATTATTACTGAAGGAATCAATGAAGAGCTCTTGTATTTAATGAGTAACTGAAAACTATTTATTTTTTATACTTTTTAAAAAATAAGGAATATTTAAAAAAACCTTGTATTCAAACTAAATACACATCTTAATTCTACCTAATCCTAATAATTCGAGTCTTAATTTTTAGACAGAAGTACCTTGCATGAAATTTGGGTGATTATATTCTATGAAACAGAATTGACATTTTACTTACAAGCAGAATACCATTTCTTTTGAAATTCATTACTTTAACTCAGAATGACAAATTTATACAGTAATTCTAACTGAAGATTTTTAAATAAACATAGTCAATAAAATAGAGTATCTGTTGCAGAGGGAGGAGTTGGTAACTATAACAAGTGATTTGAGCCAAATACAATATACTTGAAAAAGAATTTTTTTTAATGTGTATTATGAACTCTGGCTATATTACTCTAAGAAATGCAGTATCCTTCATCAAAAAAATAAAAGCTTCTCTTACTGAAATATCATTTAAAAACAAGTACACACTGCTAATTCCACCAGGTAAATAAAAATATAATCTAATAATAAGTTTCAACCAAAAGGAATAAATATATTTATAATCTAAACATGGTTTTATACAAAAAGATAAAAAGTCAAATAATATTCCCAAGGGAACATAGCACTCTGGACCTTTAAATATTCAGTCATGTAAGATTCAAACTTCAACCAATAATAATGTTATTCAGTAATCAAGGAAACAAACTTTCAAAATATTTTTCCTACATTCAGAAGATAGTGCTATTGATTAAAAAAGAACTAATACAATATATAATGCATAAATCCTGATTTTAAAGATCAGCAAACTATTTTAAAAAGTTATGATCAGGGGGCTTCCCTGGTGGCGCAGTGGTTGAGAGTCCGCCTGCCGATGCAGGGGACACGGGTTTGTGCCCCGGTCCAGGAGGATCCCACATGCCGCGGAGCGGCTGGGCCCGTGAGCCATGGCCGCTGAGCCTGCGAGTCCGGAGCCTGTGCTCCGCAACGGGAGAGGCCACAGCAGTGAGAGGCCCGCGTACCGCAAAAAAAAAAAAGTTACGATCAGATACTATTAAAAATAGTGAAATTCTTCACCGTTTTCCCAGAGTGACATTCCATAAGTTACTTAACCACGTCCAACGGGGAAACTGCGCATACTTCATTTTACACAGCTGGGAAACCATACTTTACTCACATTACAACTGCTTCCCATTTTTAAAAATTTAGTAGTGAAGGGTGCTGGAAAGGAAATAACACTTTTGGAAAATATGAAACTACTGTCAATTCATTTAATCCTCATTTATTTACGATGAGATAACCCACGCTGGGCTACACCACTTAAGAGATGGCCTGACTGCTTACTTGAAGTAGCACCCCTGCCCCAACTCCACGAGCCCCTGTCTAGGAGTATCTAACCAACTAGGAAGTAAAGACAGGAAAACATTTACAACTGTGGAATCTACGAGTCAGGTATGTGGGTGTTCACTCCCTTATTCTTGAAAACAAGTCTGACTTTAAAATCACTGCTACCCTCTCAAATTTCAGGAATATATTTTAACATGTTATTAGATATTGTAACAGAACTCTTATCAGGAAAAAAAAAAAAAACCCACCACATTTAAATATCCCACTACTCCCCAGGAAATTTCCTGTTTTTCCAAGTAAAGTGTCCCTTTCATTTCTGACTAGTGCCATTTGACACCAATATCAAATTTTTTAAAGGTTAAACATACATTTGATCACATTCTTTCACAAAACATTTCCCTTCAATTACATATTTATCTTCTTTCTCTCATCCAGAATCTAAGTTGTAATTATAAACCCAACCCCAAATTATTAATAAGTGACTATTAACCATTCATCGTGACATTTAGCAATTACTATATAGAGTTTACATATAACACCAAGTTTCTGAAATATTCAACAAGTACGTTTCTGAATAAAATGTGATGGTATGATTTCAATTAGTATTTGGGAAACAAGATCCAATTCAGTTACTGTCATTGCTGATAATCTCTATTTCTATTAAACGGCAATTCCAAGTAAAACAGATATTTTTCTCCATTACTGATATTGTAGGATTAAAAACAAATATTTAATCTCTTCCAATGAACTCTCAGCACTGATTTTAAGCAGAAAAATCCAACTCAATGAAGAATAACAAATTAAGCTTTATGAAATACAAGTGAACCAATAGTTCTTTAAAAACTGCATCTGTCAAGAAGAAAATGAATACATTTATTCTCAAAATAAACAAAAATGGGGAAATTAACAAAATACATTGCTAAAATAAAACAATTGGAAAATAGGTATTCCTTTATTTGTGCATGTTAATAATAGCATATGAAACCTAAATCCTGCAGACTTTAAATTCAGTGTTTCAAATCATTACACAAAAAGAAACATAATATTGTGATGTTATAATACTAAATCTGTTTCATATTATCTTTTTATGGAAAGAATTATGGGAGCATATATGACAAATTCACAGTTATTTAGAAAAGCTAGTACTATTCTTTATTTTTATATTTACTGGTTTTAAGCAAATGACATTCAAATGTCTTCCTTGGTATACTCTTTCACAAGAAAAAACAATGACTGAGCGAGCCACAGAGTTGTTTAACTGGACAAAAACACTAAAAACTGAATAACTAGCAATTCACAGATGCTCCACTTGACTGTCACTCAGAAGCTGACTGTTCCCAGGGTAAACTTGGTAAGAACTGGAACAAGGACTTTCTCGATGCAGGGACAAAGCTGTGTAGAGCTCTGTTCTTGGAGCCAGAGTGAGCCGGACACTAGAAAGTTCAGGAGATTAGGGCATCTCTTTGTGCAATGCTTTCAAATGTTCTTGAATGAATCGTATAGAATTTCACAGCCTTGGCCAAAGATAGCTTGGAATTAACATCAAGGATAAAGTTTCTCCCAATTTTACTTCAGCTTTGAAGCAAAATACAATGCTAAACATTACCTAAGAATTATATGAATAAAAATAACAGATGATGGGAAAGGTATATATTTAGGTGCAAGAGACATCACTCAAAAATCGTAACTGATGTTAAAACTCCCCACACTGCAATTAATGTCACAAATCAGAACAAATCCCACTCCCTGCCAACTCACACTCACGGAAAACGTGATGAGAGTCTTTGATTATTATTTTACAATCTCCATTATCATGTTTTCAAAGATTTGCCAAAAACAAAAGAACACTGCAAATTTTAGAAGATAATTCCATCCATACTGTTGTGTCTAAAAAATAGAACATAAAATAGTACATAAGAAAAGTTTGATACAAAAGCATGCATCTCAATCATGCTTTACACTCAACTGCTTTTACGCAAGAATTTAAATCAGTAACCAAACTTCTTTCTTTCCAAAGTATGCCTTCCAGCAAAAACAGAAACCATGCAAAGATGAGGTAATATTTACATACTGTTCACTTTAAAAAAGCACATTATTCTTCAGAAAAATGCTAAAAGCATGATATACTAACACACTGAAATGTTATGTGAGAAATAACTATGCTATGACCAATGCCTGATGCCTCAGATTTGTGGTTTACATTAAATACATGATTCCTCAAATGTAATTCTAAATTAAACATGTCTAACATACAGAATTTTAAACATAACGAGGACTCTGCTTTGGAATAAAAATCCCAATGTGATAAGATGTTTCTCCATACTATTGAAAATCAATCTTCAAAACACATATTTGACAGTAGAGAGATCTGATTCCAATAACACTAGCCATACTCAAGTTAATTCTGTTTTTTAAAATCACCACTTGAACTGTATTCCTGGGAGACAAGCACACCTAGCCTGTCAGACAAGTTTTGCTGGAGAGACTCCTGAGCGACAGAAGAACATTCACAACCCTGCAGAGTCAGGCCACCTTGAACACTTCTAGAAACCAACATGCTCAAGAAATGCCCAATTTCTTCTAAATCACACAGCAAATCCTCACCTAACATCCAACCTAACAGTATTGTTTGATTTTAAAGAAAATTTAAAGGGTAAGATCTAGATATTGACACCAAATAAATAGCAGATAAGATTAAAAATAAGACATTATTTTATAACCAAAAGAGATTTGCCTTCAAACAGGTTTTTTTTTTCCAAGATTCAAAAGATTTATTTGGAAAAATCAGCACAGGACAAAGATATCCTTAATATTCCTCCTCAGAATATTTGAATATTCAGAATCTATATGAAATGTAGACAGCAACTCTGAGTTCACAGGACATCAACGGTGCATACAGATGTAATCCCCATACCCGCCCTCCCCAATGTGCTACTCTGTCTGCCCCTTAGTGACATCAGTTTTCACTAAGCTTCTACCTTCAGGGCAACTTGCACAAACTAAAAAACAGAAAATCATTTGCATTTTTAAATGGCTGGGATTAAAGCAACCAAAGTATTACTATTACAGCAAAGTTTAGTAAAACTATAAGAGAATACCACTAATAACATTTTAAAATTATCCAAGATGATTTCTTTATTGAGATTAACTACATAGAATTCACAGTACTATGGCATACTTATATTTAGCTAAAGTCACAAACACATTTGAACATTCACAATGATGAGTATCATCATTACCATTCTAATCTACAAAGCTTATGAATAAAGAAAAATACAAAAACCTCACGTTTTACAAAAAAAAAAAAATTTTAACGTCTACATACAATAACAATAAAACCACTTCTAGGTAACAGGTAAAAGTGTATTGTTTTCCTCTAAGTAGTCAGGAATGAAAGAATGTTTAATACCTACGACGCTTATTAGGGCCTTCAAAGTTGCCCCCTTGGCTTCCTCTACCAAAACCACCAGGACCACCACTACCAGGACCTACACCACTCATCGGTGCTTGGGGGGTCTCAGAGCCTGTTCTACTACCCATAGGTGAGCCCATCTGAGACGGTGGTCCTTGTGGAAATCTATCATTGTGCTATATAATACCACATAATACATGTGAAGTCCATTTGGAACACACCAAATGTAAGTGACAAGAAAAATTGGCAAAATCCCAAGTGGTGGTGTCATGAAGTTCAGCAGAAAGTCCAGCAGAATCAGGATCACACATAGAAGGAAGAAAGGAGCAATTTAATTAGTTACTATGTTTAAAAAATAAAAGAAGCATCTGAATGAAGAGTTACATTTTGCTAATGCTATGCCCCAATTTCATGAAAAAAGAACTGATTTTATGAAGTGAATGCCATCTTAAACCTAATTAGTTATTATTATACTGTTCTGATCTCTCTTTTTTTAATTATTTTTTTTTTTTGGCAGCACCGCACAGCTTGCGGGATCTTAGTTCCCCAACCAGGGATTGGACCCAGGCCCTCAGCAGTGAAAGGGCCGAGTTCTAACCACTGGACAGCCAGGGAATTCCCTCTCTCTTTTTCATTAAAGTTTATACTGCATGTAACAGCGCCGTGTAATAAAAATACTATTTTTTTAAAATCAGAGAGACAAAACTAGGGAGCAGCATCACATTGTTTGAAAAAGTAAACATAAAAATTTCAATAGCAGTGCTTTTAACATAGAAAGCATGAGTATAAACACAAAGTTATAATTTCAGTATGAAAACTTATGAGGTGTTTTTCTGGAAAGACTATCACTGGGAAAATAGATTTAGTTTTTAAAAGCTGACAATTAGCGTGTACTACTAATAGCAGAATTAAAACACTTGAATTATGTATTTTGTAAAACTTCACAGTAATAACCACATATATTAATCTCAAAGGTTGAACAGAACTCCCTACATGCAGCAGTAAAATATCACTGTGAAAAAGACTAACGGGGATATTTAAATAAACTTGACCATTTCTGCGGGAGGTATGGAAAAGCAGGCCAGTTACTTTTACTTTTAACTCTCTGCTGATGATTATATGCTACACAAAATTTAACCAAAGTATTTACAAATTTTTACTAGCTCTCAGACATTTTACTACAAAATAAGCCTCCAATGGAGGAAACAGGAACACTAATTAGTATGCAACATCTGACCTGATCACAGTCGATATTACGGCACTGCCTCATTATCTCCCTATGTTAACACTCATTTAAAAAACCTGTCAGCATGTCCAATTTGTCCAAATTCTTAAAGGACTGTATTTAAAGTAAATAAATTTTAAAATAATAGAACACCGCATCCATCAGTTCTAAGACGCACATTCACTGCTCACGTCTCTGAGATCAGGAGGGTTTAGAGCTGATGGCAGGTCTGCGTTTAACAGCAGCACCTTTTCTTTCTCAGGAGCAAAGGCGCCTTCAGTTCCAAAATTGAACTGCCTTTTCCAAATATACGATCAACTAATTTCCCTTTTCTAAATGTTACTTAGGACAACCATTAAAAAGAACCAAATGAGAAAATGTCTTAGGAATATAACGTCTCAAATAGTGACAGACTTTAAGGGAAATGAAAAACAGCAGCAGTCTTGCCACTGATTCTCAAATATGAATTACAACTGCAAAACGTTTTTATAATATTTAACCCACACAAAGATATCTTCACACTCTCAAACCAAGAAATGAAATTGTCTACTTTAAATTTAGTATCAAATTTAATTAAAATTAGTAAGTCTATAGTAAGAATACATGTAAGTTTAAAATATATTTTAAAACTTTAATGTAAATTTTTTACAGTTAAATTCTCTGAAATTACTCATAAATGATTTTTTATGAAAAATGACAGAAAACTGTGTTTTCACACATATTGAGGTTTTGTACCCCACCAAAGGTAAGGAGTTCACACAGGAATAAGAACACGATCACAAAATACTTGACCATTACACTGAATGCTGGTAAAAGGTGTATACAAATTAAATTAAAATCACTGTAAAATCACTAGAATTAACATATATACCTGCTATATACTTAAGTACAAAAGCATGCCATGGATCATAATCCTAACTCTTGGGAAACTAAAAAATTGCCTCTCATAATCACCATCTAACTTCACAAAATTACCTTTTCTTCTTTGGATACTGATCTTTACTGACAAAACAAATGATGCCAAATTATGTTAAGTGTGAAGTTACCTTTGGGGCAGAAGTATATATTATTGAATATAATCACAATAATGTTTATGATACATTACCACTGCTCCATTATCTGGCATCATTGGAGTTCCCATATTTGCAGCTCCTTCTGGCCCCATGGCAGGACCAGGACCCATTGGTGGGCCAGGTATAGTTCCTCTGTTGTTCATATTCATACCCATCATTGGAGGAGGACCTTGGTTACCAGCAGGTGCTGGGCTAAACGCATCTACGTAAAACAATCTATACTTAGAGCTGTCCTATCTTAGTTGATAAACATTTAAAATTTAACAATACTTAGGCAATCTATATAACAAGACTATTATCAAAATTATTTTACTTCCTTGAGAACGGGAAACTCAATTATCTACTCTGATAGAGCATTATATTTGCTAAACAAATGTACATAAAACAAATGAGAAAACTGTCAATTATTTTTAGCACATTTGAGACTATAAAAGCTTGAAAGTTTTCTTTAAAAAAAAAATCAGTATTATTTGCTGTAGTCTGCTTTTTAACCAAATACTCCCTTACGAGTGGTGACAACTTTCTACCAGTTTAAATTAATGGCAAAGGATTAGCACTTAGGAAACCACTTAATTTTCTTACAGTCATGACTAAAAATACTAGCATGTAAAAGTATATTAAATTATGAAGGGAGAAACCATGTCCTCATACATACACACACACACACACACACACACACACACACACACACACACACAGTTCACTGTAAATAAATTCTTGGCTTTTATATAATTACTGAACATCTCCCAAAATTATAGGAGGTACTCTTTTTTAACTTTATATAGAACTATGCAATAGAAACAAACAAAAAAATTGAAATGATTCATCATGACAAAACTTATTTCTAAAAGCAACTGCAACCAAATACAGATAAAATATTAATACAGCTGTTTGAATTTTTTCAACATGCTGAAATTCTGGAAATGAGAACAATTGGATACTTCAAATTTTTTCATCAAAAGACATCCATCCACCTGCTTCATGTTAACTGCAATAATGTTTAAGCTGTAATACATTTATAAGGGCCTCAAATACAACATTTTTGGGTATCCTCTTTGAACTTAAAAATTTTTTAAACTACTCATACTTGTTTATCATTAAAAATTCATGACGAAGACTGATTCTGAGTTTTCTTCTAGTATTTCACTATCTAGTTAATTTCATGACATTCAGAACTCAATTTCACAACAACACATTATGATAGGAGTGGCAGTTTTCATTCAAACTCACAACTCTACACAGCACCCAATGCAGCTCAACCGGCACAGGACTGGGTCCAGGGAGCTGAGAGGAAGAAATCTGACTCCCTGCCGGCCCCTAGCAACAGACGCCTGCTCCTTCTGAGCCCAATCCCCAGGACCCCAGCCACTTCCTAGGGAAGGAAGTAGTTCCTTAATGCCCCAAAGTTCTTGTTAGTTAATCTACACTTCAACTACACAAGAATACTTCTACTCCCTTAAGATAGCTATAAAGAAAAATTTTTACTAGACTTCCACATCTCCCATAAGTGAAATGAGGAAGGGTAGAGACAGTATCCAGGAGGAATATTACCTCAACTTTCCCCAAAAAGAACAGATCAAGGATTAGTGGTTTTTCTTCTCTTTTAATAGAACATAATTATCACACCTAACTTATGAGATACGAATATAACTATATAAGTATGGGTATAATAAAATAAATGAAAAATATTTAAAACTATCATTAGTTGAGGTAGACTTAGTAACTATGTCTTCTACCAGATGGCTGTAATTAGACTAAATTTAAAGATCTAAGGAATGTTAGAATTATCTGGTCCCCTGAAAAGCAGTTATATAAACTATGTTCCACTTCGTACACACTGGTAACACACCAGAAAATCTGTCATGTTTAATCCATGCAACTTAACAGGATATGACAATTTACCAACTTAACAGTGACATTCAACTGCATGATAAGGACTTGTAGCTCCATGGATCCATAACTATCATGAGGATAAAATCTCACTTCGAATAAAATGTAAAGAGGAGAAAATTAAATGGCGTGGATGTTAGGGGAGCTAATTAAGTGCTCAAATGTAAACATGGTTCTCTGGTGAATAAAATGCCATTAAAATTTTTAATTCTCTTAAATTCCTCACTAAATAAGGAATCTAAAAGTACATTCTCCCATTTCTTCTAATAAAGTTGCTAATCAAGTAAGAAAGTCAATGTTTTCATGGTCTCTGAAACATCACAAATGTTTCAAGTTTGGTTCTGATGTTAATGACACACTTAAAATCCTTAAATCCAACTGGATTATATTATACACCAGCCCACAACTTACTTTGAAAAAGACATAAATACTGAACTACCTGTACATTACTAGACCCTCAACTGTGTTTTCTAATTTAGAACTTCTCATGCACTCTTGGTGCACTAACTTTTTTCATGTATCCATTGTACTAACTTCACAATTAAGCTCTTTTGGTTAAGGGTTATGTCTCGTGCTTCCTTTGCATATCAGAGATGCTCAATAACTACTTTTTGGTAGATAAGAAAAGTGACGAAGTAAACAGCAATTGTGTTAAATGATTTAGATTATCTAACTGGCAATGGCAACGGAACTGGCATGGGGGAGGGGTGCTTGGTCATGGAAAATGCTCAATCCACATATTAGAGGCTTTAAGATGTTTTACTCCACATACTACATGTACATTCCAAGTACAATCTGGATTTCCTCAGTGGGAGTGCACGTGATGCACACTGGAATGTTAAGGTAATGTAATCTTTACAACAATATGTACATTTGACTTTATATAAAGATTCTAACCTCAGCTTCTGTGGGACAATGTGAAATTAATATATAAAATTTTATTATTTACCTAATTTTCAAACGTATGACAGTTCAAACTTAGTAAGACATATGAAAACATCCCATACTTATTTTTCCCTTAGCCTATTTACTTGATATTGCTGCCCTGACAACCTGGTTATACAAGCAATCAATATTAAAGATGCTAATATAGGCACTTTCTTAAAAACTTCACATCAACTCTAAACATACACATTAGTCTAAATATGCAAGACACATCTCATTTACTTGACAAGTCATAGATGTCTCCAAACAGTGCAGTTCTGTGCACAATACTGTGGGTTACGGCAAAATAGTTAAACATTCAGTAAAAGGAATAAAAATAGCCTCAAAGTTACACAAAAAATTATCTTAAAATAGAAATAAAATACTCTCAAAAAGTTTATAGACACTACAACTCAGAAACTATCAAAATTCCAAGATAAAAAAGCCAATTTCAAGGCAAGAAATCTGATTTTTAAAAATGCAACGACATAGCTTTATTACACCATGTGATGACTCAACAAGTTTCAGGTCATTTACCAAAACCTGTTTACAGGTTTCTTTTTGTTATATCTATTAAAACATAATACCTCTTTTAGCCTAAGAATAAACAAAATAAAAATGTTCTTCCTAGGCATGTATTTTTAATATACTGGTATTTTTTTTCTCATTAAATAAATGTAAGAAATTTCACCACTTACAAACGCTGGTTGCAAATTTTTGTTTGTTACTGATATGTAGATAACACAAATAGCATGTACACTTCCCTGAAAAATGACAAGTAAGTGACAGAAGGGTTTGCTTCAAATCCCTACCTCCCATGTTTATTGCTCCACGGGGACCCATATCACCCATTCTCATTTCCTGTTCTCTCTGTAAGTAAACATAGTTGTCACAGTCAACCTATCGATCTTAGGACTTTACATTTCCCATCTAAAATCAAAAAGAAAAGAATAAATTGCGACATCATGTTCCATTAAAATATTTTTAAATTTCCAACATCATTTACTTAATAAGAACACTGAAAAGAAACTTCAGTCTCCCAGGCTTAATTAATATCCTGCAAGTGCTTAGGGCACCCAATTTATATTGCTATATTATCAATGAGTCATACAAAAAACCTACTACAGGATATTTGTAATGTTATTCTCCCTAGAGATCATACACACATGCCTAGATTCTAAGAGAAGAAAAATCTAACAATAATGACCACCAGGACCAACTATTTTTCCCTCCCAGGTCTCTAAAGTCTTAAAACAGAAATGACCGTTACCACTTTCGTATTCAAATGTATTCAAACACACAACACAAGCAGCTGTGGGGTACTAAACCAAAAATAAGGTTATAGACAATTTTCATTTTTGAAATATTATAATTCACCTTTGCATTTTTATTCAAGTACTCAAGCATTATTTCACCCAGGACCTACAGATAGATATACCATGAAAGCCTCCACTACACACAAACAATTACTGAAAGCTCAACATAATTTTGCTTCCTTTATTTGAACAAGAATTTTTCTTGGAAACCGAAATAAAAGTGTTATTACACAGTTGGAAAGTTCTGAAACAAAATGCTCTTGAGGTTACCTGTGACATAAAAAGCCATACAAATGTACAAAACGTTTTAAGTTTCAGTACAGAAACTACTTCCTAGAAACCCATTTACCAACAATAGTTATATAGAATTAACTTCAATGAAATCTCTAGGTGAAATTACCCAACATATCATAATTGAAATTTACACTACTATTTAATGATCTTGTGCAATACCAGACAAGTGTGTTAAATGTAGCAATCATAAAAAACACTGAGGCAAAAGTAGCAATGTCTAAATCTAAAGAAAGCATCATTTTTCTACTTTTAAAAGCAGTCTTACTAATAAAATGGGTTGGTTTTAAAATATAGTGAAAAACACCTATAAAGCTAGAAATAAAGGAAATAAAAGCCTATGATAGATAAATGCCACTAAGCAGCAAATCAACTGCCCATCTAACCTAACAGAGATGCCTCAAAAGTTAACCTTTAATGAAGCTATAATATGAGAAAAATACCACTCACATAATAGCTTCATGAAGAAACATTTCTCATTGCCTAGAAAACGTAAATACCAAAGCTTTCCCAAAGCTAACTTTTAACTTTCCAAAAAATAAATTTCTTTCATCATAAAACATTTGACTATTAATGGATACTATTACTGACCAGCAAAAAAGCTATTTTATAAAACTGACTACTGATGAACTCATATAATTTTGCAATTATAGGGAAAATACTATTCTCTAATCACACTTAGCACTATTATCAGTAAATTAAACCAAGTTGTCACTTCCTCATCAGCAAAGCCTACTGACAAAGTGTGGACTGTTTGCGCATATCCAAAATCTTCCAGGTACTATTTATATGAGATACTCTTCAAGAAGAGCTGCTTGCACTCCAGCACCAGAGAGTAAGATACATGGATTTTATGGCCCCAACATTTTTAGGTGACAAAGGTGTAACATATTTTTTGACTTGTCTTAACTATGAAAGACTAGAAAGGCAATATCTAATCACTAACAGAGGGTAATTATTAGTCTCACTCTTTGAGACTTCAATTTTCAAATACCCCAACACCCTAGCTTCCTAGTCATATTTTAAGGTTATTCTTTCTATAAACCCGCTACTACATACTTCTAGTAAAATGCAAGAGGCAGAAATAATATTTAAGGGTAGTGTTATCAACAGAAATTAAGACAGTACTTCTCATTGTAACTTGATATATCAATAAGGAGAATCACTTGAATAAGCGCACTTTAACTATGTACCCACCCCAATAGCAATACATAAACAAGGCCCTCACTTCTCCTAAGAATTCTTCTAATATATTTTAAATTAGAACTGATACATGTGTGATATTTTTATAATACAAATTTTAATGATGCTTTATTACTTTACCAAAAACTATTGTGCTTTAACAGGCAACAACTTATATGTAAAAATCTCAAAAGACTGCAGTGCAATATAAAATGATAAAAGCTATGATGAACACTCCATTTTAATTAATTCAATAAATCCTCATAGCAACCCTATGAAGGTCTACTGTTATCCTATTTTAGAGATCATAAAACTGAGTCACAGACCTGCTCAATAACTTACTCAGGGTCATACATGTAGCAAGTGGTTGAGCTGACCTATAAACTTCTGCCAAAATAGAGTTCACAGAATTTTCTTCTTCACAGGGCACCTTCATTCTTCAAGAATTCCAAGACCAACAAAAGGCAAGATTTGTAATGTATTCTTACCATGTTTATAAGAGACTGTGCCTTTTGATTAAAAGAATTCTGCACTGTAAAGCAATTATACTCCAATAAAGATGTTAAAAAACAAAAACAAACAACCAAAAAACCCCACGTCTACTAGTTAAGACACATTTTGCTTCTCTTGTTCAAGTTCATTTCCCAGGAAGCTGAAACCTCTCTATTTCAATGCCTTTAAATTGAATAATAAAATGTTAATTTGTATTTTATGGAAAAAAAAAAGAAAAAGAATTCTGCATATGTATTCTTGAAAGCTGGTCACTGAAATATGCCTAAATTTTCCAAAAAAGAAAGTAAAGTACAACTGATTCCAAAGCCGCATATCAAAGCAGCATCCCATCAACAAAAAGGTTGTTCTCAAGGTGTGGTTCCTGGATTGAAGAGAGTCCCCAAGACACATCCAAGACGTGCACAAACTCAAAACTACTTTATTAGAACACAGTTCTAACACTGGTCTAATTGGGCTTTTCACTGAGACACTCGCAGGGATGGTGCAAGAGCAATGATGGGCAAAAATCCTGGTGTTTCAGCACAAACCAAGGCACTGGCATTCAATTTTTACCAGTAATCATTGTACTCTAGACATTACAATACAACTACATTTAAATGATTTCAATTATGGCTGTCCTAGCCAGAGCATCCAGAAAAGACTGAAGATTAGATTGTAAGAAAATAAAACAGGACTTCCCTGCTGGCGCAGTGGTTAAGAATCCCCCTGCCCAAGCAAGGGACACGGGTTCGAGTCCTGGTCCGGGAAGATCCCACATGCCGCGGAACAACTAAGCCAGTGCACCACAACTACTGAGCCTGCGCTCAAGAGCCCACGAGCCGCAACTACTGAGTCCACGTGCTGCAACTACTGAAGCCCATGCGCCTAGAGCCCACAACAAGAGAAGCCACCGCAATGAGAAGCCTGTGCACCCCAACAAAGAGTAGCCCCTGCTCGCCGCAACTAGAGAAAGCCCGTGTGCAGCAACAAAGACCCAACACAGCCAAAAAATAAATTTTTTAAACAAATAAATAAATAATTTTTAAAAAGAAAACAGAAGCCATGTTTCAAAGAGCTGGATTTTACTTTTATTTTTTTTCTTTCTGGCTGAGCCACAGCATGCAGGATCTTAGTTTTCTGACCAGGGATCGAACCCAGGTGCCCCTGCAGTACAAGCGCACGGTCTTAACCACTAGACCACCAGGGAAGTCCTCAAAGAACTGCAGTACAGGTAGTTCATCAGTTTCTAAGAAATGGGTCTGAAACAGCTACCAGTTTGGTTCTGAAAAGATCTCTGACTCGTGTTCAGTTACTTCATCGAGTAGGTCAGGACCCTGTCATGAGACAGGTGGAAAGAATAACCCTGTCACAATATTTTCTCTGGCAGCAAAAGAGATGTGCCCGATCAGGGGAAAATGAAGCACACCAAATGGGTGAGGTCAGCCAAAAACACGGCACAGACTTTCAGTATTCTGACCAGGCCTCAGAGATGTGGCATATCAGTATGTGAAAAAGGGGTCTCGAATTTATGTGGACGGGAAGGTAGACTATGGTGAGTATATGGATAAAAATAATGTGAGATAACAAGCAACAACAATTACAGCTGATAACATATTTCCGAGTGACCAGACAAAAGAGAAGGCATAGAATGGACAATTCTTCTTTGGCCATTGTTTGGTACAGTCTCAATTCCAAATCATGATTGTCTTTATAGTTTATAAGGACAAGAATTAAAACACTCTTTTATATTAAAAAAATAATAATTTCAACTATGAATACCTGGATGAAGCAGTAAAAATGATTAATTTTATTAAATCTCTAACTTTAGGTACATGTCTTTTTATTATTCTAGGCAACAAAACAGATATATACATTAAGCATTTCTGCTGCATTCTGAAATATGGTGGTTATTTCAAAAAACACCGTTCTTATGATTGGGCTGAAAGCTGAATAAGACACATTTTCTTGGAGCGAGATTTTTACTTGAGACAGCATTTGACAGACAAGCCAAATAGTGACCTGTGTACCTGGCAGTGATTTCTGACGAGTGGCTGATACTAAGAAATGTGATTTGTTCCTAACTTTGTATAACAAAATACATTAACATTTTTATGATTTGTGTAACTCAACTGGTCAATATTTTTCAGCTCGGTACATGACATTACAAACTCATGCATAGGTAGAAGATCCACTCAAAGGTAGACCAATGGATTCTAATGCAAAAGAGTACTTTTAAGAAAATACTGCTTGTCAAGTTTCACTGCAGCATCAAACAACAATATTCACAATTAGCTGAAAAGGTTAAAATATATATACCTCTCTCCACCTACTTATCCATGTGAAACCAGATTCTCTTCGTATTTTTTAACCAAAAGAACATTTTGCAATAGGTGGAATAATGCAAAAGCAAATATGGGAAGCCAGTCATTTTCTTATAAAGCCAAACACTGAAAAACAGTAAAATAACACTCTTCCCACTACACAAAGTTGAGCATTAAAGAAATTTCAAAAAAAATGTAAAAATAAGGCCACTCTTCCCACTATAACATATTTTCTTTCAAATTTCTCCTTTAATTTCTTACATGGTAA